ACCTTCAGACACTGATTCACAATTCATTCAAAAGTTTATGGTCTTTGTTCTGATAATGTCCCACAAACTCTTTCTGATACTGGCTTTCCACTTTTCAGAGTCCACTATTCTCTATAGAGAATCACCATCACTTACTTCGTTTACAGGATGGAATGATTTAGGAAATAACCAGTAGTGTTCTGTTTAACCTCATAATAGACTGTGTACATACAACATATCATAAAATGGTAACTGCATATTCCAGCAAAACTCTCAGGGCAGTGAATTTAGAATTTAAAATTTGTTTAGAAACAAAAATATTCTTTGTATGTGTTTGTTTCCTGTTATAAATGGCCCCAATCTCTCCAAAGATGCAATTTAATTGCCCAAAAGCTCTCAACAGCTTATCTCATTAAAATAAGGTCTATTTAGTCATAAGTATAACTTCCTGAAAAATACTCGTCTTCACACTCCCAAAGCATCCACAACTCCCACTGAAGCCCTTTCTCACTCTTAAACCAAAATGAAATTGACACAAAATGATTTTTATTGTCTGTCTCCCCCCACAAAACTCTAAGCTTTATACGAGGGCAAGTCCTGTCCACTTCTGCTTATCACTCTATCTCTAGCACCCAGGGACAGTCCTCGGTACACAGCAGGTGATTATTAATCTCTGCTTAAAAATGAAAAATGTTCCATCATAAATGTGAACAGAGAGAAAAGAGCACCTTTATGGGCCAATTGTTTTAGAAAGTTTTCTTTTTTTTTTTTTTTTTTTAAAGCAGTAGTTTATTTTGGGGGGTTATTTTTCATAATCTAAGCATAAAAATATTTAAATATTGTCTACTACATGATTTTATTTCCACATGTAGACTGTATGCCTGTGGAGCTCCAGTAGTAACTCTTTTACTCTCAGGCCTAAAACATAATTAATTAAGGAGAGTTAATTTGCTACTAGAAAAGAAAAACTGATGTTTCAAAATAAAATTACCAATACATTTTCTTTTTACTGAATTTCTAAAGCACTAATCACCAGCCCTCCTTTCATTACCTATGATAATCAGGATTTTACCCAGTAGTGAAATTTCTTCAACTAGAGGACCATAAGTTACCCACAATATCATAAAAGAGGATATACAGAGGAATCAACTGAAGATGTTTTTTAAGTTAGCATAATGATAGAAAAGAAAGTGTTACAAGATAAATACAGTACATGGAAATTTTTTAAAAAAATATTTTACGTCGGAAGAAAATGGCAAAAGTATTTCTGCAAATAATAAATGCAAAATACTTTGCTGAAAAATATTTTACTAACATCTGGCATATTATGTTCTATAAGGTACTACTGTACACATCTGCTCCACTCACGGCATTGTAGGAGTCTGAGAATACTAAAATAATACTCAAGTACTTTGTAAACCACATCTGTAGAAACTAATGATATAATGTTATAAATATTAAGCATGTCCTTGATACACATTTATAAACAGTAATGACAGTACCTGCTTACCACTGCTTGCTTGCAGACCAAGAGAGATGTACTTTATTAATGACTCAAATACCATAAGTAGTACTGTCATCAGTTCTGTGATTTTCGAAAACCACTGAACAATTCTTAATATAGTTCTGAATGAAAAGTGAAATCTTCCCTAGATATGCACATGTGCTAGGCCACTGCGCTGATGGTGAAGAAAACGATTCTCTGAATCCATGCCCTTTGCCCCGTAAGTGGGCAGTCCCCTCCTACTCTTTATTCTGAACCTGGCAGCATGATTCTTTGGCAAGCTGTTCACAACTGTAATGCAAGCATTAAAACAGATTTAAGTTATACACACAGATGACTGTAAGCAGGTTTTCCCACATATAAATGTCTGGAGGAACATTCAAACATGTGGAACATACGTTAATTCTGTTCAACAGACTGTGAAGCATTCAGCAACCACTGCGCTTACCTGCTCAAGCCTGCAACACCCTGATCACGACAAGCAAACATGCCCCTGAGAACACTAACCCCCAGGAGGGAGGAGAGCCCAGGACTGCCACCAGTCAATATACTCTCTTTTAACTGAGGGAACGCTCCTCTTCAGGTATGACCCATTCATCACATGATGTAAGATAGCCGTGCCTTTTTAATCCAAAATATAGTGACTGAGTAAGGTCACTCAAACCCAGTGACACACAGAATATGGCAACATGTTTTAAAATGAAAAATTAACATTTGCATACTTCCTCTATGTTATACTTAATATTTAAATGTTTAAATAAGAGAAACTGATAATGAAGCACCTACACTTAGAAGTCTAATATAAAGTTTTGGTTGTACTAACCATTCTGCACTTCATAATATCAATCCTCACCTTCTAAGCATCTCTTAAGTTTTTAAGAACACAGATACTGTTAATATTGTTAAGAATTATAAATACCTAGCCCAAGACTTTGGTTCTAAGATGTTCTTAGGGACACAAGAAAGTACATGTGTCTTCTTTAACAAGTATTTAAAAGGTTGGTAGATTTTCTAATGGTAGGAACTATAGTAAATTTCCCTTTCTCTCTGTTCACTGTGTTTGCTCAGCCTTCAATATCTTTTCCTGACACAGGGCTCCTGGCTTGCTCTGTCAGAAGAGCATGCAACTTCCAATCTTAGGGTCATGAGTTCAAGCCCCACATCAAGTGTTCAGATTACTTAAAAATCAATAAAGAAATAAACTTAAAAACGAACAAGTATCTCTTCCTGCCAGCTCGGGGCCTAATGTTTGACCTCTATGAGATTCTCCCAATCCTCTCCTTTTCACCCACAGGTTGAATCCCTCCTTCCAGATTACTTCTGAAACTTCTTACTCTTAGCACGGAGTAACTAACACCTGCTATTGACTGTTACATACATGCCTCCTAATTAGCCTGTGAGCTCTGTGTTCGATAAGCCATGGAGCCACACCCGGAACTGCACCCACAGCACATCGCACAGTGACAGCCCTGGCCGGTGCTTTAAGTGGCCTATCAATTTCCATGGCTCTTTTTAGGATTTAAAATCCATGAAACCATTCATCTCTACTGTTTATATTTTGTTTCTACTTTTCGTTATGAGTTGCCTAAAATTATTTCCTTGCATATATTCTAAATTTATTTTGATATCCACCTTAAAAACTGCTATATTCAACATGGATGAACCTTGAGGATACTACACTAAGTAAAATAAGCCGGTCATGGAAGAACCTATACTGTATGCTTCCACTCACATGAGGCATCTAAAAGAGTCAAACTCATTGAAGCACAAAGCAGAATGGCAGGTGACCGGGGCTGGGAAGGGAAATGGGGGGCTGTTGTTCAGTGGATATGAAGTTCATTTATACAAGATGAGTAAGTTCCAGAGATCGAATGTACAACACTATGCCTACAGATAAGAACACTGTGTTGACACCTAAAATTTTTTTAAGAGACGAGATCTTATGTTAAGTGTTCTTACCACAATTAAAAGTTCCTTCCATTTTGAGACTGGTCTTCACCTAACCTTGGCTACCTACTGACAGGTGCAGTTTGTTTTTACTTCTCCATAAACTGTCACCTTTTTAGTTCTATTACTCTGACTTTATCTATGATCATTAGATTTTTAATCTAAGAACAAAAATACTCTTTTATTTCTGACTCCCTATTCTGATATCTAAAATTTTGCATACTAGGCCAACATTCTAAAAGTATAATTAAAAGTTTGCACTGCTAGTTTAATCCCAAACTTTATATAAACAATTCAAATTGTATTTTAGTCAGTAAATGTATTATTCTATATTTACTATCATTACAAACCTTCTGTCCTTTCCCCTAGCTTTAGAGTTTCCCATGTCAGTCTGAAACTTGACTGTGCAAAATAATTTTTTATAAGCAAAATTTGGAGACTTCAAAGTGTGCTCACTTCTCTGAATCATGTATTTAAAAATATTTCACAATCTTGAATTTATACCTCTTCACTGTTTTAGAGCCAAAAACACATGTGCACAACAAGTAGGCAAGCAAGTTTAAGATATTGCCTGCATAAGGAAGAAAGAGAGGCAGAGTACAATATGCTTACATATATCTTCCAAGGGTGAACACGAAAATTTTTAAAATGAATAAAATATTAAAACAACATTTTTCTTTCTCTTTTATCAAAAATATGCAAACAGAATAGTTAGTATAACTAAAGCAATTATTTCCTTTCCATGAAGTAATGAAATTTTTTTGGTCAATTTTATAGTTTGGTCAATACTAGATCACCACTTTCACGAACACAGGGTAAAAATAGAACTAAAAACAAGAAAGCAAACAAAACAGAATGAAATTGCTGGAGGCCCATCAAAACAGAGTTAGAAGGAAAAAGCTCCTCTCCAAGTTCTTACTAGGTACCCCTGCATGCTGGACTGTCCCACAGCACTGCCAGGCCCCTCCCTACCCAGCACCTGCTCAAAACCAAGTTCAGGAGGGGACCTCAAGTAAAAGCTGATTACACAATGGCCTAACAAAAGTTTAACCATCTGGTCTTTTAAAGTAAACACTAACAGTTACTCCCATACTAGACATCCTCCAAAAATGACTTTTACATTCAATACTGATCAACTGTAGATACATGTTTCACCTCTGGATAAAGGTATTTCTGCAATAGGTACTAATTCTAAGTACATTACTAAATGAGTACATTCTAAGTATCGAAATATAGAACACAAAAATAACTTTTTTAAACAGTGAAATCCACCATCTTTATTTTTTTTAATGTTTTTTTATTTTTGAGAGAAAGAGAGCAGGCACGGGGGAGGGTCAGAAAGAGAGGGAGACAGATGATCTGAAGCAGGGTCTGTGCTGACAGCAGAGTCCAATGCTCAGGGGCTCAAACTCATGAACCCTGAGATCATGACCTGAGCAGAAGTCTGACACTTAACCAACTTGAACCACCCAGGCGCCCCTCAACAGTGAAATTCAACATTCTAAACAACTTATTAAACCTTATTAAAATGATTGCCAACAAGAAAGTTAAAAATTGTAATAACACTTACTTCATTTCCATGTTTCTGCAAAAATTCAATTTCCTGTTGTGTGAATGTTGTCATGGAGATAGATTTCACCCTGTGTGGTGGATTTAACCCTCTCCTAAAAGATAAAATATTTTACAAATTTACTATTATATATCTTAAAAATGACTCATCAATGTAAAACATTTTTAATTAGTGCGTCTAAACATGGAACAGTTCCCTCCATAAACTGAAAAGCATTTAAAAATTATTTTAAATTATTAATCCCCACAATAAATATGTCAAGGTAAGGTAGATTCATACTAAATAATATATTTAAAGATAAATTCAGGTAACTACCTAGTTAGGAATACATAATACCTGTAACACATGAGCTTCTTGGGCACAAATGTTGCTTTAGTGTGTTTCTAATGGAAGGAGAAGACTATGTAAGAGCTCTATGGTAAAGAATTCAAAACGTAATTAATCATTTAAATGTTTTCATACTTCCTAAGAAAATGACAATGGTCTGTTAGAGGTCTGGAGCTCTACAAATATTCTAATCAAACAGCTACTACCTTTAAGCTTGAGGCTGATTTGAAAATTGAAAACTTACTCAAGAAAACTGTAAATGATTAACCTGTAAGAATGAAGTCCCACCTCTCCATCAATTCAAATAAAAATTTATAAATAAAAGGATATTTTCAATCACCTTAGAAGGCAGTAAGTGCTCGAGAAGAAACTGAAGAGACATAAAGGGATTCAAGAAATACCTGGACACATGATTAAACGCCTGTTAAGTTCTTTTAGAACTTAAAAGTCTCTTCTGTATGGATGGCCTTCAAAGGACTTTAACTCTAAGTTTCTCGATGTTTACGATGCACATAAAAAACTGAATAGAAATGCACTCAAAGAAGAATAAAAACTATTTACATTTTGCCACAACTATCACACAGTGACCTACTCAATCCACAAAAATAAGGGTTAAATAATCTACGCAAAGTAACAAGTAATCTATGCAAAGTTTCATAAAATTACATTTGAGTCATGTCCTCTGGTAAAGGCCTCATTTGGAATCTAGGTTCTAGAGCAGATTATTAATATTTTTACATAATTTGTCACAATTATCTTGCAGTCATCCATGCTGAATGAATAAAGATGTAAAATAATAAATGAACCAAAAGTCTTCCAAAATAACCTGGAAACATTTTGAATAATTAAATATTATACAATAATTCTATAAATTCACAATTATTATAAGCCAAAACAATAAGGAAAATTCAGAATTAAACGAAGCTCCACAATTTTCACATCCTGCTCCTTCTCACTTGCTGACGAACAGTCAGAGATAGATGGAACATCTTTCAAATCATGCTTTGAATTATGACAGAGCCCTTTATCTGTTTCATATTTTGAAGCTGGGGAAACATTAAGTTGGGTTTTGTTGCTGTTTTTGTTTTGTTAGAATTTTAAACTAATTCGTTTACTTCTAGCTCTTGGTTAAGTTTCTAAGATGCAAAAATAAGGACTGTACAGTAGGAGAAATTGAACATAGCAATTTCATCCCCATAAAACTTTCAAACTTAATAAGAAAACAACTACAGCATGAATTACTTTCAAGTAAATTGCAATCACAAATTAAGGCTTTACAAATATCTCCTAAATTTCCAAAAGTGAAAATGTAGGAAAGTGATTATTCATTTAAAGCAATACCCTCTGTTTTCCAATTCATTTGTATGATGAGAACAAGACCAGATTCACCGTTTTTAGGGAAGCTTATTAATTTATAATGTGTATGTATATCCCACCTTGTTCCAAAATAACTTAGGAACAAATTAACTTCTTACTCTCTTAAGTTCTATAACTCCTTCCCTATCACTTGGCAACTTGGTCCATCCTTACTCCCTAATAACTCCTTCCTTGTGCCAGTCAACCCTTTACGTTTCCACCTCCCTTACAGTATCCTTTTTAAAGAAGGAAAAGGCAAAGGAATAATTTCCTAATGAGGAAGTGTCAAACACTGTTTACAAGGGGGCATGTTTTAGATAAGAAAATTTCAAGCAAAGAATTATACTCCTATATTTCTGTAATCATTAAATGAGGAAACCCCTGATTCTTTTCTTCTAAAACTCATTTTTAGTTCTATTATACAGACATAATCTCATGAAACCAGTACATACAGTGTATAGCTAATTCACTCACAGATCTCAAGACCCTATGGTATCACAGGGTCTGTTTATACATAAAGGCATTCTTATTACTTAAATAAGTGACAAAATTTTGAACTTATGAAACAAATAAAACTACAATGAACTCATAACCAAACTATGAAAGGACATTTTTTTCCACTTAACAAGAACACTTACTCTAGGACTTCTTTAAGTGAGCTGACTCAGTGCATTTAAAATAGGAGTCAATTTGCACAACTGGAAGACACAATTTTGCAAGGCCATAATAATTACATAAATTGAGTGGCTCCAAGGAAATTTTACATGTGTTCATATTGCTTTCTCTAACTGCTTTTATATTCTTTCTCTCTAAAAAAAAAATGAATAAATCTTTAAAAAAAAAATTAACGAAATTGTTTGTTTAAAAACAGTGATGAAGTCCAAAATGAAAATAGGTGGTCTCATACACTATATGGTAGGATAAATTCACCAATTTGTTACGAAGAACCTCATTCACACCTTTTGACCCATTAGTACCCTTTAGTATCTATCCTAAAGAAGGAATCTGAAACATAGCTAACTAATTACATACAAAATGTTCATCAAACATTATTCATAATAAGAAAACATCAGAAACACTTCAATATCAAAGGGAAGTGGTTAAGTAAATGACAATAACACTAAACATTAAGCATACTTATGGTTATGTTTTAATTTTTTAGGATGAAACTTATATTCTCAGAGCTACATAAAAAATATCTACAAAGAAAACAGACAAACCAAATACCCCCAAATGTTAACAGTCCTTGCATATAAATGATAGGTTTGGATGATTTTTTTTTCCATTTATAATTTCCTTTTCTCTCCAAATTTTCCACATGAATATGTATTATTCTATAATAGGGGAAAAAACAGCAAGAAATAATGGAAAGTCTAACTGATTAGTAGCAGTAGTCAAAAAGTTTGGACTTTGAGTCCTTGCTATATGGATGTGAATGCCAGTGCTGAAGAATTAGAGAAAGAAAATACGGGAAGGAGAGAGCAGTTTTCCTTTCTAAGGCTTTCTTTCAGTTTTTCTTTAAAAAAAAAAAAAAAAGGAAAAAAATACCCTGGAAAGCTTTTCCTTCCAAATACACCAGCATTAACACTTTATCTTCACTTTATTTCTCTAAATCTGTGTTTTCTCGACTTTCTCATTATTGACATTTGGGGCCAGGAAACTATTGTGACGGGGCTGCTCTGTGCATTGCAGGACACACAGCAGAATCTCCAGTCTCTACCCACTGAATACCAGCACATCCTCCAACCAGTAGGGACGACGAAAAAGGTTTCGAGGTGTTGCCAAAGCTCCCCCGGGGCACAAAACGCCTCCAGTTGAGAATCACTGCTCTACATATGCCAAATGTTAATCACCAAGCAAAAGAAATTACTGGAATTTCTTTGGATCTTTACTGAGTATAAATTACTACAGGTTTAATCTTCTGCAAGACATTCTACCCCATATACAACAACAAAGCTAAATTCTCCCTTAACATCATTATTTTCAGAAGAACAGAAAATAAAAATGAGTACTTTCTTCTATAAAATGATAAAGAACAAAATAAATATACCAGTTTAAAATCTGTATACTAGATATTAAATTTAAATTAGAAAACACTATAGGAAGTATCCACACACAAAAAAAAAACCCCCACAAAGATATGAACTTTATTATGTCAAGCATGCTTATACAGATTGGTGGCAAAATGTAAGTTAAGTTAATAGGGCACAATGAAATTAATATTTATTAAGTATCTATACTGGCATTTTGCATATTTAATCTCATCCAATTTCTACTTTTAGTAGTATGGCACACTGGATATTCTGAAAAGTCTCCTTTGCTAAAATAGGACAGATACTCCATAAATTTTAAAACAAAACAAAAATATGTTAGAAAACAAAAACAAACAAACAAAATCCCTGTTAACATATTGTTGTGCCTTCTAGAAAGGAAAGAAACTCTCTAAGGATCCTTTCCAAAAGGAAGAAAAAGGCAAAAACGTTAAAAATTGAGCTGAAACCAGAAAAGTGACCCCTGTTCTCCACAAAATGTAGTGCTGCTCAGGAGGCAAATACCAATCAAGAACAGACAGCTAAGAGCAGATCAGAGAGCGGAAACCGAGACGGACCTGTTCAACTCAAGACCCTGGAAGAGAAATAAAACTGTTTCAGGTTGTAGGATCCCAGGTTCTCAGCAGAATCCTCTCAGGAGGAATGCACTTCCAATTTCTGCTAGGAGGACTTGGAAATTTTAAGCTCAGTAAACTATGAGGTTACAATAAAAATCATCACACAACAAAACATACTACTAAGCTTGTCAGTACAAATAACATATTTATACCCACCTCCCCCAAAGACTTCAGATATTGGAGTGATCAAATACAAAACAGAAAATTAATACAGTATATAAGAAACGTTAAAATAAATAAAAGATGGCATAAAAGTAAACAAGATATATGTACTTACCAGAATAACCAAGGAACTTTAAGTCAGAGCTTTTAGAAAATGAAAACTTAAAAATGTAGAAATTAAAAACTCAACAAAGCAGGTAGAGAGATTAGATAAGCCAAAAAATAAAACTGGTGAATTGGAAGACAGGAAACAGACCACCCAGAAAGAGCACAAACATGTACGCAGACAGAAGAGACAAAAAGAAAAAAAAGGGATGTTAGAAGGTCTAACATATCTAATCAACACTCTTTTGAAAGAGAACACGGAAAAATAAGGAAGAGGGAATATTTGAAGAGATAATGGCTGTGATTTTTCAGATCCAATAAAAGGAATGCATCTACAGATAGAGGAATTACAGCTCATCAGAAACAAGATAAATAAAATCCACACTTAGAAATATTTTGTTTAAACTTCAAAACCAGAAAATCTTAAAAGCTGTCTGAAAGAAAAGATCAAGATAAAATCTGACTGAAAGTAGACT